GTACCCACACCAAATGAACTGCAGCGGTTGAAGAAGGCAGCACACGACCACCTTCTCAAAGGAAGGGCAATTAGGATTGGGATTAAATGATGACCTAGCTGGCATGGTCTCACCCTGTGAAAGAATACATTTTGAAGTTAATTTGTTAAATAACTAGAAAAGCAGTTTTGATAACGAAAGAAGAAAAGACACAACAGGGAGCGAGGTGGTTTATAAAGAAATGCCGTCGATGGAGCGTAATTGCGGACACCGAGATGGTTTGAAATGTGTATACTTCAATGCTAGAAGTATCAGAAATAAAGCGGATGAACTTAGAGCATGGGTTGGTACTTGGAACTACAATGTTGTGGCCATAACAGAAACGTGGGTAGCTCAGGGAGAGAAATGGTTGTTGGAAGTTCCGGGATTTAGATGCTTTAAAAGAAATAGGGAGGGTGGAAAAAGAGGTGGGGGAGTGGCATTGCTAATCAGGGGGAGTATAGCAGCTACTGAAAGGCAGTTCGAGGATGATATGGCTACAGAGTCAGTTTGGGTTGAGGTCAGGAATAAGAAAGGAGCAGTCACTTTGTTGAGGGCTTTTTACAGACCCCCAAATAGTTGCAGAGAAGTAGAAGAGCGGATTGGGAGGCAGATACTGGAAAGGTGCAGAAGTCACAGGGTTGTAGTCATGGGTGACTTCAACTTTCCAAATATTGATTGGAAACATTTTAGTTGTAACAGTTTAGATGGAGCAGATTTTGTCCAGTGCGTTCAGGAAGGATTCCTGACACAGTCTGTAGATAGAACAACACAAGGAAAGGCCACTTTGGATTTGGTGTTTGGCAACGAACCAGGCCAAGTGTCAGACCTGTTGGTAGGAGAGCATTGTGGCGGTAGCGATCATAACTCTGTTTCTTTCACAATAGTCATGGATAAGGATAGGTACATACGGCAGGGTAAAATTTACAATTGGGGGAAGGGTAATTACAATTCAGTTAGGCAAGAACTGGGTAACATAAATTGGGAACAGATGCTGTCAGGGAAGAGCACCACAGAAATGTGGAGATTGTTTAAGGAATGCATACTGCATGTGCTCGATATGTTTGTCCCTAGCAGGCAGAGAAGATGCGGTCGAGTGAGGGAGTCATGGTTCTCGAGAGAGGTCGAACGACTGGTTAAGAAGAAGGAGGCTTACGTAACGTTTAGGACAAGAGGAACAGAAAAGGCTCTAGAGGGATACAAGTTAGCCAGGACGGAGCTGAAGAAAGGGCTCAGGAGAGCTATAAGAGGGCATGAGAAAACCTTGGTGGATAGGATCAAGGAAAACTCCAAGGCTTTTTACACGTATGTGCAGAACAAGAGAATGAACAGAGAAAGGGTAGGGTCGATCAAGGATTGTAAAGGGAATTTGTGCACAGAGCCGAAAGAGATAGGAGAGGTCCTTAATGAATACTTTTCTTCAGTATTCACAACTGAGAGGGACCTAGTTGTAGAGGAGGACATTGTGAAACAGGCAGGTAGGCTAGAGGAGGTTGATGTTAGTAAAGAAGATGTGCTAGGAATTCTGAGGAAATTGAGGATAGATAAGTCCTCCGGGCCTGATGGAATTTATCCAAGGATTCTATGGGAAGCGAGGGACGAGATCGCAGGGCCTTTGGCGATGATCTTTTCGTCCTCACTGTCCACGGGTATAGTGCCGGAAGATTGGAAAGAGGCAAACGTCATTGCCTTGTTCAAAAAAGGGAACAGGGATAACCCCGGAAATTACAGACCAGTTAGTCTTACATCAGTGGTGGGCAAATTATTGGAAAGGGCTCTGAGAGATAGGATTTATGATCACTTGGAAAGGCACAGTTTGATGCGTGATAGTCAGCATGGATTTGTGAGGGGTTGATCATGCCTCACAAACCTTATTGAATTCTTTGAAGAGGTGACCAAACACGTGGATGAAGGTGGAGCAGTGGATGTGGTATACATGGATTTAAGTAAGGCATTTGATAAGGCTCATGCAGAAGGTAAGGAGGCATGGGATAAGGGGAAATGTGGCAGATTGGATTCAGAATTGGCTGACCCTTAGAAGACAAAGGGTGGTAGTGGACGGAAAATATTCAACATGGTGCTCAGTTACGAGTGGTGTACCACAAGGATCTGTTCTGGGTCCTCTTCTATTTGTGACTTTTGTAAATGATTTGGATGAAGGAGTGGAAGGGTGGATTCGCAAGTTCGCGGACGATATGAAGGTGGGTCACGTTATGGACAGTGAGGAGGGCTGTTCTCGGTTACAAAGGGACATTGATAGGATGCAGAGCTGGGCTGAGAAGTGGCAGATGGAGTTTAACCCTGAAAAGTGAGGTGATTCATTTTGGAAGGACAAACTTGAAAGCAGAATACAGGGTTAACGGAAAGATTCTTGGCAGTGTGGAGGAGCAGAGGGATCTTGGGGTTCATGTTCACAGTTCCCGGAGAGCTGCCATCCAGGTGAATAGAGTTGTTAAGAAGGTGTATGGTGTGTTAGCTTTCACGAATAGAGGGATTGAGTTCAAGAGCCGTGAAGTTATGCTGCAGCTATACAAAAGCCTGGTTCGGCCACATCTGGAGTATTGTGTCCAGTTCTGGTCACCTCATTACAAGAAAGATGTGGAAGCGTTAGAAAAGGTGATCAGGAGATTTACCAGGATGTTGCCTGGGATGGAGGGAAGGTCTTATGAGGAAAAGTTGAGACAGCAATGGCTTTTCTCTTTAGAGCGACGAAGGATGAGAGGTGACTTGATAGAGGTGTACAAAATGATCAGAGGTATAGACAGCCAGAGACTTTTTCCTAGGGTGGAGGTAGCTTTTATGAGGGGACATGGTTTTAAAGTGAAAGGAGGTAGATATCGGGGAGACGTCAGAGGTAGGTTCTTTATTCAGAGAGTGGTAGGAGCGTGGAATGCATTGCTGGAGAGGGTAATGGAGTCGGCCTCATTAGGGGCATTTAAGCGGCTATTAGATAGGCGTATGGATGATAGTATAAGGTAGCGGCGGAAGTTAGATAGACCTTAGGTTTAGGGCAAAAGTTCGGCACAACATCGTGGGCCGAAGGGCTGTACTGTTCTATGTTCTATTAATTCATGTAACACCTTATCACAATCTCAGGATTTTCTAAAGCTCATTGTAACCAATGAATTACTTTTGAGTCTTAATTATTCTGGCAAGCACATCAGCCAACATGTGAATTATACACCTCCAATTAATCTTTGGTTGAAAGAAATATGATGTTGAGCATATCATTTTTGTTGGTCTTTGAATAGCACAATAAGCTTATGAACAAGGAGGCTGGAGTTTGGTTTAATATCACATCGAAAGATTGTATATCTTCGACATAGGCAGCTCTCTCATTAAAATGCCAAACAAGAGATTGCAGTGTATTTGAACCCATGTCTCTCTGACTTGCTGATAGAAACAGATAACTTCAATAATGTTCAAGATTTAGAACACTTCAATATTACAATAACAAATTAGTTGTTGGGGTGCAAACATTTGCAGTTACATTAGAAACTGATATGCACTTAAAGTTTTGGCAAAGATCTGTAGCTCGGATTGTGGACTTGCTCGCTGAGCTGGCTTGTCTTTGTTCAGCCGTTTCTTCACCATGCAAGGTGACATCATCAGTAGAGCCTCCGATGAAGTGATGTTATTCTATTCCGCTCGGAATTTATACTGTCAGGTCCGTTATGGCGAGTACTGTCATTTCCGGTTTTCATCTGTATGGGTTTGTATATGGTGTCCAATTCTATATGTTTGTTGATTGAAGTATGGGTGGAGAACCATGCCTCTAGGAATTTTCGTGTTTGTCTATGTTTGGTTTGGGCTACTACGGTTACTTTGTCCCAGTTAAATTGATGGCCTTCATTGTCTGAATGTACGGATATTAAGGACAGTTCATTGAGTAATGTTTGTGGCGTTGTTGCACCCATTCCCACAACATGCAGAATGAACGTGGTTTACAAAAGACCATGCAACAACTGCCACAAACATTACAATCGGACAGACAGGAAGGAAACTAGCCATCAGAATACATGAACATCAGCTAGCAGCAAAACAGCACAATGAACTCTCCTTAATATCTGTACATTCAGACAATGAAGGCCATCAATTTAACTGGGACAAAGTAACCATAGTTGCCCAAGCCAAACATAGACATGCACAGGAATTCCTAGAGAGATGGTTCTCCACCCATACTTCAATCAACGTACACATAGAATTGGACCCCTTATACAAACCAATGCAGATCAAAACCGGAAATGACAGTACTCACTATAACGGACCGGACAGTATAAATTCCAAGTGGAGTAGAACAACATCGCTTCATCGGAGGATCCACTAATGATGTCACCTAGCATGGTGATGAAACATCTGAACAAAAACAAGCCAGCTCAGCGAGCAAGTCAACAACCTCAACTGATATACATTTCTATGTCTTCTGCCAGCTATTTTTCCCTGACTATTCACATAATCACGAATCACTTGAACAAATTCCTCTTCAGTGGAATTTGTTTTGTTATTTGTTATAGACTGGAAAATGGTCCACTGCTTTGAAACATTCACTGCGAACATGAAATATTGCCAGATCGGGCACAACATAGTTGGATACCGATGAAAGCTTCCTTTCATTTGCCTCGAGCAATATTCTTCTGCACAAAGCAGAGCTGATCAGTCAAAACGTAACTGTGATTTCAGCAGCTGGATGCCATTCAGTGGCAACTAAAATGCATTAAATCTGACATACACCTTTGAGAAGAAATATATATTTTTAAAATTGTTTTATTTGCCACCCCAAAAGCTTTTGATAATCATGCTCTCAAGGTGTGGCCTCTTCTCTTAAGCTTATTGTTCTTAAATTTGAAATGAGAAACAAACAATAACGGTTCACAAAATATAACCCTGGCCCAAAAGTCTGATCTCTTCTTTTAGAATTAGGGTAAAAGGTTTGTCCAGGCTTCAAAAAATTAAACTTTTTTTAAACCCAGGTTGCTGCCTACCTTGGTACAAAGACTTGGCAATTGTAGAGCCAATTCAGCCATTTCAGGTAGAAGGAACTGAAGAAGGTGCTGTGTTTCAACGTCATTTAAATCCTAAAGAACAATAAAAATTTATTGAGTTGTTTCAACAATTTAACTTATGTCCTGCACAGCAGTACTGCATTGCCTTGGGACAAAAATTTTGATGATGATTTTTCTTTTTTAATTAAAAGTACTTGTTACACAGTATAGTTTATGATAAATATAACACAATAATCGCCACAGAATTACTTTAATGTTGCATGATCTACTTGAGGTTTGAAAAAATTTCACTGGACTGATAAAATAATTAAAACCCATTGTTTACATTAAACCTGAAGTAACTCACTGTTCATGATGTATACTAATGGTTCACTATAATTTTAAACGATATTTCGTACTTAAAAACATTACTGTTGGCAGTCAATTTTAAACTTTTGTTTTGAAATGTGTGTGAAATTTCACAAGCAATAGCAATTCATTTGGAAATACAACAGGGTGAATGGATCCTTGAATTGGTCATCTTATTTGCTGAACTGAATATTAAGCACAGAAGAAAAGTTATTGCATTATTTAGGAGTTCACAGCCAAGCTACAGAGAAATTTAGAGGTACAATTTTGTTTGCCCACTATCAAATGCAGACACACTGCTTATGGATACATTTGCTATATAAATCTATAAGAACTCAAGAGGCGCAGATTGGCTAATCCAATCTGCATTGCGTTGCTTACTCTGGGCACTGTCGAAATTAGCAGTCAAAACCATGACTGTCAGCTCAAAACATTAATAAGCTAGTAAAAACATGGTCACCAATACTGGCACAAAATTTCTTATGCCTGGCTTTCAAGCAGCTGTCCAGCAGTCTTCATCTCAAATTTAGCTATTCATGGGACATATGTATCTGGCACACTGGAATTATTTCCTCCTGGCAGTCTGGAACACGCCAGGCACTTCAATGTTCATTTCCTGTGCTGAAAGCCAGACTAATATTATTAAGTGCTAATTCTGGGTCCGCGTATGTGGCACTGTGGCAAAGACCAAACAGAATTAAATCAGCAAATGACACGAAAACCTATTAAGTATAAACATGGGAAACAGGCAGGGAAAAAAACACGAGGGAAGACAATGAAGTCAGAAAGAAGGCAAAAACAAATCTTTTTGGACTGAATGCTCTGATATTAAAGCAAGACAGCACAGACCCCATTGAACAAAACAATACAGTTCATCGTCTCTCAAGTTATCTTTGCACTGTGCCTGCTAGCACAAGACCAATCTTTATCCTTTCCTTTGGCAGTCCCCAAGGAATGAGGATGTTTGCTTCTAGTTCAGTTCATTGAGTTCTGAAATGGTTGCTAAGTCCAATGTGTGATCTGCTGACTCTGCTACAGATGGTCAGAAGGGTTGAGTATAACTCTGCACACTTCCAATGAAATCTCTCAATAGTGCCCTGCTGAACAAGCCTTCTCCTTTTTCTTCTCTTCAGAACTTATATTCACCTCAGAACTAAGTGCTTCGCACCCACACTGCATTCTCATTAAGCTATGTTGGTTCTCTGCTCCTTAATGAAACTGAAATTCTCAAGTATAATGAAGATCCATGTACAGTTTATCAATCTCAGTTATAACCTGGTCAGACATGCTGACAAAACAGAAATTAAGTCTGAATAAAGGAAGTTGGGAAGGAAAGAACAGTGTACTTAATTTAGTTTTTGAAACAACCAAGTTCAAAGAACAATTTTATGTAAACTGTAGAAGACATCTAATGTTTCTATGGCTACTTTAAAGCTAGCTCACACCAATACCTGTCTCCTTAAGGCACTTCTGGTATCATTGCACTGAAAACTGTAGCTTGGTACAGGCTCCAAGGTAAAATTTCAAGCTGTTAACAGGGACAAATCAAAATGTTGCTTCCGTCATCTATTAACTTTAAGGAGTTGAAATGCACATTTCAGTGTGTCGTTACTGACAAAGCTCCATTTAAATGGATTTGTTAAGGTTAAGGTTGTTGAGGGGTATGGGAGAGCCCAAGCACATGGAGTTGAAATAGAGTATCATGCATTATTGTGTTGAATGGCAGAGTGAACCTGATGTATCACCTATTCCCGCATCTACTTTCAATGCTCCTATTTCATATTTTTTGTAAGCAAACCAATCAAAGAAATACACGAGAACATGAGCAACTTGTACTTGTATATCGTATTAAAGAAAATGTCCCAAGGCATTTTGAATGGGACAACACATAAAAAAGAAATAAAAAGGAGGCCACAGCGACAATGGTAGCAAAGTCAGAATGAAAACAGGCAGTTTGGTTGTAAAAAATGGTTTAAAACTGGAAAGAGAAGTGCAGAAGTTGGGAAGGGGTATTCAATGAGGCGGTTTGTCACAAATGAATTACATAATGGACTGTTTGACATGTAGGAGGCTTGTACCAAAAACTGGAAGCAAAGTGGGGAAATTTTATCATGATGTGAAAATGAAGGACTGAATTGCGAATTTACTGAACAGCAGGGATATAATTGTAGCTCAGTGACAACTGGGTTCTGGGTCAGAAACACTGATCAGAAATGAAAAGAAACATCTGCTGTTTATCGCTTGGAAGAGGTGATAACAAAAACATTTAGAAATTAAGCTCATAGGTCACTTGGCAGAGATAAATTGAGGAGGTAGGCCTGATGATAGATAAAATGTGGAGTTTTAAGCACGTCTCTAGATAGTTAGACAGCTCTTAGCATAACTGCTCAGATTTAACTTCGCCTGGTCTGGGAATAGTTGAGTGAAGTGATTAATCAGTGACAAGGGACTGCATTAATTATGGGAATGAAAGCATCACCCTGCCCAAAAGATTCAGCTGGAAGAAATTTTGATTCACTCATGAGATCAACAGTTGTGGGATTCAGGAATATTATCAGCATAGTCAATGGTTTGCATTGTCTGTTTGCTTAGTTGCTTGCTCACCTCTGAATTATGAAACAATGTTCCAAGTTCAAGTCCCATTGAAAATTAAGGCTGAGACTCCAGTGGAGTATTGAGGAGGTATTGCATTCTGGGGAAATGCCATTTTTGGTTGAGATTTTAAACTGAAGCCTGATCTGCTGGCTTGGGTCAAAGTATCCCATGATTCAAAGAGCAGAAGTTATATCCAGGGCCTGAGCCATAACTGCCCCTCAATAAACATCACTAAAAACAAGATCCTGAAGGGGGCTTGACAGGGCAGACGTGAAGAGGGCATTTCCTCGTACAGGAGCATGGGGAACTAAAGGTCACTATTTTTCAAAAAGGAGATGACGCAGACATTTTTTTCCCCCAGAGAGTGTTCAAAGTCTTCGGAACACTTGTCCTCAAAAGGCAGTGGAAGCAAAGTCTTTGAATATTTTTAAAGTCAATGGTGGATAGATTCAAAGTACACAAGGGGAGGAAGTTTACTAGTGGTAGGCAGGAATGCGAAGTTAAGGTTAGAATCAGCTCAGCGATAATCTTATTAAATGATGGAAAGGCTTTTTCTTTTGGAGGGGGACGGGTTTCAAATGGCTTTTCCCTGCTCTTACTGTTATTTGTCAGAACTTGCTTAGTCCCATCTGTCTGCTCATTTCCTATGTTACAACACCTCCTAGGATGAAGGGGAGGCTGCCAAAGATAAATCCATGAGATATGCCCAGATTAATCTGTACTGCGTGGAACTCAAAACATTTAAAACACTATGCAGATTTCAGCTTTTCGGCACAGAATCTATATTCTCTTGCATTACAAATACATAAGCAAAATGCATTTAAAAAAAAAAGCTGAAGTCAGAAACCCAGCAAGCCACATAACAATAATCAGCAGAATTAGGAATCAGATAGCTCCCATTCTTTACGTTGTAAAGTGTTCACTGTGACACTGGTATACAGTATTGCCCCAACACATCTCTGTTGTGCTGCCAAGAAATGGAGTGCAGAGTTAAAAAAATTCTCACAAAATTGATTGGAGACAACAAAAATTATCATAAGCAGTAATACAAAAGCAAAACAGTGATGGAAATTGGAAATAACAACCTGGTTGCTCCTACACTATTCTCAGGGATGGGCAAATGAATAATTGCAATAAACGTGTGCATTCTTAATAGTTAATGCTGGTGCATAGACTATGTAGGTTGGGCGGCGGGGGGGGGGGGGGAAAGACAGAGAGAGGAAAGAAAGTAAAGCTCATTTTGTTTAGATGAAACCAAACTTGTGGGAAAAAGGGGATATTATTTATTAATTTCAATATTACTAAATTTTTCCCAGTGATTTCAGTCAATATTTCATCATTTCTCAGCTAATTGTTTCCTTAGTTTCAATACTGTCTGATACAGTTTTGGGGAACCACTCCTGCACAAACATAACATTTGACTATAGCTAACCCTCTTCTCAATACTACTGTCAACTCCTGAGAAATGCCATATATGAAAAGTCAAATCAGCCTTCAGTCTGTGCCCAAAGACACAAGCTGTCATTGGCTAATAATTTGTGCAGAATCTAATTTCTAGTACCTGTCAGCAAGTGCTATATACTGCATGACATAGGCACTATCCTGAATAATTATTAATCTGAATACTAAATCTTTCTTCTACTTTCCAGATGTGACATTCAAGGTATAGTAATGGCAACAGGCTCATCAACACAAATTTCGCACAGAATATTAAAGTTTGATCACACAGAATGCATGTTACTAGTGCCATTCAAAGGGCAAAAGACAGCAACCTTTTGTTTTGTCCAAAATCAAAGACATTCAACACACTCCAATATTTGAAACAGAATCATTATAAATCTGTTTCAGTGTTGCAAACATACTATAAATCTCGTTTCTTTTTAAAGGTAACAATCAGGATACTGGAAGGTGAAATTCTTACAAATAATAATAATAATTGGGTTGCAGCCAAAAAAAAAGTGGACATCTACACTTTAAATCTTGAACAAAGACATTCAAAGCTCTGACCTGCACAAGTATTGATTTAGAGATATTGGCTAGGAAGTGTCAGAGCAATCAATCACTGACTAATTTCATCATGACTGGCTTGCAGGACGTTGATTAAATGGAAGCAAAGAAAAAAAATGCAA